GTGTGTTTATTTACAGTTCATGTGGGAGGTGGGTCTTCCCCCCTCTCCTGTGCAGTTTTCCTCCCACCGCCACTTTCACAAGCTTTCCTGCTCCTGGTTGCTGGACATGCGCCCCTGCTCCCTCCAGAGGCTCTCCGGCCCGCCTGGCTTGTTTATTTACAGTCCTGGGAAGGGTTCCCTTCCCCCAATCTTTGGCACTCAGTGCGCCCCACTCTCTTTCCTGCATTGTCTTTATTGCTCTTATTGCTTATTACTCAGTTTCTCTTTTTTTTCCCCGGGTGGATGTCAGTCTGTCCAGGGGGCTATGCTGCTCTGGCCCAGGCTTTGTCTGTGGGAGTACCGCGGTACTGCAGAGCTCACCTGGTCCGCATCTTCCCAAGCCGTCTGGGTGCCGGCCACTTGGTTACAAATTTTAATCAGATTAAATTCTTCCTTTCAGATGCATGGAAGAACAGTGTCACATTGGTCTCTTATATCAATGCTGTTTCCTACTCTCAACTATACCAAATTTGAACATAAAATGTCATAACCACTAACTTTGACTGCAAAGCAGCTCAAGGACAGGCAATGATTTATAATTATTTGTTTCCACTGTATGTTGTAGATGATAAAAAATAATTATTAAGAATTAAATTTGTGTGCCTCTTATGAGAAAGTGGGTTCTGAGGTAGTAGTGAAAAGACCATATTTTATGCTCATATTGCTGACTGTCCTCTCCTTTGACCAAAGTGCTCCCTACTACTAACGAAACTCCTAGATCTGTGCAGTGTCATATAAATGCCCCTATATAATGTAGTTTCTGAAGGCATCTAACTTTCTTCCATCCACAAAGAAGAAAAGAATTAGTTTTTGAAATATATTTTAATTCACATATCTTCCAGGTCTGAAGTGGCATACTGTAGTATTTCAAAGACAAATTTATCTATTTAATTATTCTTTTTCAGAGGTTAGTATTGTCTATTTTTAATATATTTCCTGAAATTTCAAGAACGTTTTTACACAAAATGAGAACTAATTTCTCCTGAGATCCTTCAGTGTGTCTCAATCTGTTCCATAATATGATTAATGAAGAAGATTCACGCATATCACCAAATTTGAGGAGGTTTAGTTGAAGAAGTTTCAAATAGCTTATTGAATTCCTGGAAGAAAAGAAAATCTCTCTTAAATGTAGTAAAAAACATACTGAATTTAAACATTTTTTAAACTAAAGCAGATACCTTAAAAGCAACTGAGACCAATAGGAAAAGGGGACCAGGAACTAGAGAAAAGGTTAGATCAAAAAAAGAATTAACCTAGAAGGAAATCAATGTGAGTCAATGCCCTGTATAGCTATCCTTATCTCAACCAGCAAAAACCCTTGTTCCTTCCTATTAT